CTGGTGTTGATGTGTGCTGTTCCCGAAACACGCATAAAACATAACAGCGCTGTGACAAATCTTTAGCTTTCTGGTTTTGATATCTACACTCTACGCGTCTTTGACAATACTAAGTCAATGGCTCAAGGTATTTACGGTGTTAGTATTGCCCTCAGCAAAGTTGCTGAAGGCAACCTGCTCGACTGGATACCGGTGAACAACCACATGTGTGCGGTTCGACTTCAAACTATCGGAATTAATAAGCAGCATCTGAAGACAAGGTGCTTTTTCATTGCCTCTGCTTATGCCCCTACTGAATGCAGTTCAGAGAGTATCAAGGACGATTTCTATCAACAGCTCTCATCTCTTCTTCGCAAGGCAAAGAATAAGGGCATGGTGATTGTAGTTGGTGACATGAATGCACAAGTGGGTCGTCGCAGACTACAAACAACACCGGGACGGCGGCCTCGGAGTCGATGCACGCCGAACGGAAAACGGTGATCGCTTCCTGCAACTGTGCGCCGACCACAATCTTTATAGTAGGAGCACTGCTTTCCAGCACATAACTTCACACCGCGTCACCTGGCGCCCTCCGAATCCCTCAATGACTGGATCCAAATTGACCATATTGCCATCAGTTACGGATGGCGCACATCAGTTCAAGACTGTCGGTCGATTTGGAGTACTGCCTGGATTCCGACCATGCTCTAGTACGCACACACTTGGCGCTCATTCCTCCCGCTTCAAAGAAGTGCCCATCTTCTAACCTTCTTACTTGTAACTTGAACTCGCAATCTGCTCTTCAGCAATATCAGGACGTAATGGCCCACCAATTGTCAGTGATGAATGGGGTTGGTGAGCCGGACGCTGACTGGGATCGTCTCAAAGGTGCGATGAGGAATACTTTTGACGCCTGCTGTGCACCCAACTTGAGATGTCGTAACGGTGAATGGATCTGAAGCGTCGGACAGCTTACTCAAAACATGAGAACAGATTCCGATGGGCACTGAGTTTAGGCGTGTCCATAACGTCCTGAAACGACATCTGACCAGGATTCCTCGAATCGACCGAGAATGTTGGTGGGTGGCAAGGGCCAATGAGATGTAGAAAGCCAGTGCTATTGGAAATAGCCAAGTGCTATTCCTACTCATCCGGAACACGGGTCTGAGAAAGCCAACAGTTAGCGAGACGATAGCCGAGAAGGATGGACAATTAATTCACTCTCAACCTCGTCGACTAACACGAGGGGCGGCACATTTTAAAAGCAGTTTAGCAGCCTTGCTGCGACACTGCCGCTGGGAAAATCACCTGAGCCGACGTGGGAAGTAGATGTCACACCTCCAGCTTTGGAAGATTCGACGTGAGTTTACCGTGTTGAAACGAAACAAAGCTCATGGACCCGACGACCTTCCTCCATCACTGCTGAAAGGCGGCGGAGACTGGACTCGCATCACTGTTTAACACGATTTGGAACACGGAAGAGGCGCCTTCAGACTGGCGACTGTAAACTGTCGTGCCCATCTTTAAGAAGGACCAGCGCACTCTGTGCGAAAATCATCGGGGCATTAGTCTTATTTCCACTGTTTAGAGACTTCACACAGGCACCATGATCAGATGGCTTACTGGTCCTTGTGAGGACCGAATCACTGAAAGCTAGCCTGGCTTCAGCCCTGGTTGTGGTTTTATCGATCACATATTTACCCACATATTTACACACACACACAGACGACAGACTAAGGTGGATTTCCTCGAGTTGAAAGCTGCCTTCGCTTCTGTTGACCGCGCCAGCTTGTGTCACTGCCTATCTATGAAGGGCGTGCCGGCTAAATTCCTTACTATTATGCAGTCCCTCCGCCGTCACTCACGAGGACATGTAAAGGTCTACGGGAAACTGTCTCCTAAGTTCCCCACGACAAGTGAGGTTCGCCAGGGCTATCCTATGTCGCCTTTCCTTTTCAACTTCGTGATCGAATTGATCATGAACCACTCAGTTCTCTCAGACTTCACCAGGGTGGAGTCAGCCGGTGGTCGTGGTCTGCGCGCCTGGTTTGTAACCACAAAGTCACCGGTTCGAATCCGCGTAGGAGTGGGCGTCCTCGTGGCTCAGTCAGCCCATGCTCGGCTGGTGGTGGTCGTTTGCCAGCGAAGCGCCGCTACGGCGAACAGCTCGCGAGTTAGAAATGGGAATATTTTGGTGTTGCTCATCCCAACACTGGCACTGCACGACCGCAGTTCCGTCCTGGTTTGGACTCAGCAGGTGGAGATAGCCTGAGCTGGGGTGGAAATCAGAGCTTAGTAGTTCACGGCTGACGCTCTGAACACTATGTTACTGAGATGCGCGAGCAACGCTTGGTACAGCGGAAAGCAATTCAAAGTTGAGTTTAGCGAACCCGCTGTGCGGTTGGGTTGATACAAGCAACCTATATTGAGACCTCGGTTCACTTTGAGGTAAATCTCGGTCATTCCGATCACAAGGACCGTATGTGAAATGGAAATATTTTGGCGTTGAGCATCCCAACACTGGCACCCCATGACCGCGGTTTCGTCCTGGTTTGGACTCAGCAGGTGGAGATAGCCTGAGCTGGGGTGGACAGCAGAGCCTAATGGTTCATGGCTTGTAGCAACCCAACCACACAGCGGATTCTCCAAGTCCAACTTTGAGCTCGCGATTTAGTTATTTTACACTTGCACCTTCAAAGTGTAAATTACTGTTGCAAGACTGGACCGATACACCTCCGGTTTTAGCTATCACCGAACAACCACTAGAAGTGGTGGATCGGTTCAGTTACCTTGGTACTTGTGTCACCACCGGTGGTCACATCATTGAGGAGATTACTTCGCGTATCAGCAAGGCCAGTGTGGCTTTCCAGAGACTCAATCATTTATGGAGACGGCGGGATATCAGCTTATCAGTAAAAGGCAGAGTGTGTAACGCTGCGGTAAGGCCGGTCTTACTGTATGGATCAGAGACCTGACCAGTTCGCAGTGAAGACATTAAACGCTTTGTTTTCTTTGATCACTGGTGCTTACGGTGTAGTACTCACGTCTGGTGGGAACACCGGGTGAGCAGTGCTAAGGTCCGCCAGTTGTTTTTTGGCAAAAACCTACTGGTGTATCGCTCGAATGTTTGTTGAATCTCAATCGCTTACGTTGATTAGGTCATGTCCTCTGTATGCCCATTTACCGGCTTCCTCGGCGTGCATTATACGCCGTGACTGCACTAGGTTGGGTGAAACTGCTAGGTGATCAGTCCGTGGCATGGCAAAGAACCTTGAAGAGATTGACTGAGAGCCTTGGTCAGGCTGGTGCGCGCCGTCTTCGTGGATGGCCCACACCAATGGTTGCAGACCCTATCAGACATGGCACAGTCATGTGGTCAGTGGCGTTCCTGCACCTGGTTGTTAACGTTTGTTCCATTCTGATAAGTTTAATGCACCACCTTTGGCTCCCGTTTTCTTTACGTTATATTTGCCTTTAACCGCACTATCTTGACGTGGTTTTTTATTGTTATATTTGCGATGTGAATCGTGGCAACTGGATCCATCGCACTTCGGTGCTCGAATCATAGTTGTCCAACTGAACTTAACTGCACGCAACTGACTTCGGTTTCGATCGAGACATTAGCAACAACAATGTTCTGGCTTTTGCTGTTCGTACAAAATTCGTGATAGCGCGCTAGCCTGCTAGATGTCGTTTGTCGACCGGTACCTGATTTTGAAACGCTGTAGTCAATATTTGTAGACGACTAGCAGGGATTCCTTTTTTAAAACTGAATATCGCAAGAAGCGGTTTGTGATCCGTTATCAAGGTAAAATGATGGCCGTATAGCATTTTATGGAAATGCCTAAGTGCAAACACAATGTACAAAACCTCCTTTTCAATTTGGCTATAGCTCCGTTTTGCCGCACTCAACGAACGGCGCTGCTTCCCGGATCTGTCTGGAAAGGTGCGCGAGATGACTGCATCATCAAATGCAACGAAAATTAGCCGCTTTGGGTCGTAGTACATCAGTGGCAATTCTAAACTTAACTATATCGGACGCTGAAAAAGGAAGACTGATAACCAAAAATGTCGTTCAGCATAAGCACCAGTTGAGGAGGTGTGAAGTACTTGAGGCATTTGGGAAGAATAAAAGTTAGGAACCTTTGTGTTGCTTAGTTCCCAACTTACCTAGAAGCAGTCTGCACATGCATGCATCATCAGCGTTGGCAAACTCAAACCGGAAGACATCTTCGTATCTTCTGAACCAAGATTCGAAGGTCAGGCCAGCATCCGAATAAAAAGAAGATTCACAAATGCTGTTAGAGGTGGCATCCACGGAAGAATTTTGCTTTTCAATGTTTAAGTTAAGGTGCATCGCAAGGCGCTGTAGGATGTTCTCCATAAACTTTGTTCGACTTTCTTCAAATTGCTCCCGCTGATGTTGTGGTATAGTGGACAGGTTTTCTGCTGAAAACGGCGTTTTCGGGTTCCGTAATCAAAAGGACTTCGTCGCCAGCTGTTAAGGCCTGCCTACGGTGTGCGATTGCGGCTATTGCAATAAGGTTCTTCACAAAACCCAATCCAACCGGGAAATCACTAGACAAAGATCTTGATGACAAATGCCTGTACATCAGAACAACTGCCAAAACACAATCTATTTAAAGTTCGAACCACGGTTTTATTGGGGTATAAGTGAGTCGTTGTGGTTAGCTCAGAGTTCGCCCAATTCAAGTTTCGCTCGTCCACAACTTAGTAGGCAATATCCGAAAATTCGAAATCTGGTTCCACCGGGAAGGCTTCGATGCGTCCTAATAGTTCCGCTACAAAATAAAGTAGATGAGAATGCACTTGTCTTAACGGACGGAATCTAAGCTGGGTAGGAAAGATACGCGTCAAAACAGCGGGTCATATTGACGACCTACAAGATGCCGTGGATGACAGAGCTGCACTGAGTGGTTGAATCTGATGTGCGAGAGAAAAAACTCCACCAGGAGAGACTCGAATGAAGCCCGGATCACGTGAAAATCAGAAGAGTACTAGAAATTCGGTACCATTATATAGCAAAATAGCAGAAATCGTTAAGGTGAGGATAAGGGGAAACAAAATTGAAAAACAATCCTAAAATAAAAGAATGGTACTGGCCCTGAGTAGTAGACAGAAGAAAGGTGGAAGAAGAACGGATCGCGAAAAATAGGATGATTGTTATCTATGCACATGCGCATTTCACCGGTTCGTTCAAAGAAATATTGACAGCATTGTGGGGGTGACTGTTGTATAGTCAGGTATCGGAAATCGCGCGTATGATGAGGGTAAGGAAGAAGGAGGAGGAGGAAGAAGTAATTTAACCTGAGTTGTCGGCGATCGATTTAAGAGGCACTCGTAGCCGTTCGGCGAGAGCCAAACGAGCCGCGTCGCGTGTGACCCCGTAGGAGTAAATTTGTTTGCCTGAAACAGTGGCGCACAATTTGAATCTTGATGAGCTGTGTTCCGGAGTCAACACTTCCATGTCACTGAAAAAACAACAACAAGGGTGGAGATGGAGACGTTATCAAAAACCGAATGGAATGGTACGATTTCGAATATATAGTTCAGTATCACAGCTAGCAGACCGGAGTTGTGCGAAAGGTGCAAATAAAGTCTGTTCGTCTGGGAACTGGGCTGAAGCAAATGTTTCAGGGAGCCAGTAAAAACAGTTCCTTATTTTACCCTTAAATATAACGGTAATAGTCCGAAGAGAATAATCGAGAACAATTGTTCACCTATATGGTTTCGTGTACCTTTATTTAAACTGTAAATGGGAATTTTCAAGTTGAAAAAACAATGCAGTCAAACAACTATGATACGGGCATCGAGGTGCGGTGGGCGGAATGCAGTGATCACGACTCACATCGCCAGAATAACAAACAATTACAACGTCAAGAAAATGAGGTGAAACGTAAATAGAGTGAAAATAAAATGGAATCAGGAGAGAAAGGCGCAAAAACTAACCGGGACGAAATAAAGATGCAAGTAACCGAATGCAGGGCCACTGATTGCGACACGTCTGATAATGTTTCTAACCATTTGCGTGGACCATTCCGAGGCCTCTATCCACGAAGGCGGCCCGAACCAAGACTCTCATTCAATTTCTTCATGCATGAATGCCACGTCATGGACTGGTCACCTCGCGGTTTCGCCCAACTTGGTGCAGCCACGGCGTATAAGGCAAGCCAAGGAAGCCGGAAAACGGTCATACGTAGGACATGACCTCTCAAAAGTAAGTGCTTGAGCTTCAGCATACATCCCAGCGAGCAACCGGAAGGCTTCTTGCCAAAAGCAACGGGATTCAGCATTAATCACCCGGTGTTCCAATCAGGTGTGAGCAATACTTCACAAGCACCGGTGATCAAACACGGCCAAGCGTTATATGTCTTCAATGCGAAATGACCAGATCTGTGATCAATACAGTAACACTGGCCTTACCGCAGTGTTATACACCATACTTTCACTGACAGGCTAATGTCTCGCAGTCTTCATAGATACCTGAGCCTCAGAACTGCCACATGGGTTTTGCTGACACGATAAGTAGCCTCTTCAGTGATGTGATCGTCAGAAATAAACAAAATGTCAAGGTAACTGAACCGATCCACCGCTTCCAGTGGTTGTTCGGTGAGGGCTAAAACAGGTGGCGAATCGATTTAGTATTGCACTTTGAAAATGCAAAGAACATGCGACGAGACTAGACATTAACGTGGTGCGACGGTTTGCTTACCTCTTTGACGCAGTGAGCTATACTGGGTGGTGCCCCGGGTTACCTGAGAGGTAATCCTACCAAGTTAGTCATAGGTCAGACAAACTCAGTCTTCTGGTCCTCCAGGTTGGGGGTTAGAAATGGCATGGCGCCCATTTCTGTAAAACTAAATCATTGGCACTTCAGCTGTCTTTCGGACAGCCTTTTGAGCAAGAGGCTTTGGTTGAGGACCCTAATTGTCCTCCTGTCTAGGTCTGGGTGCTCTGGCAGTATCTCAGCAAAAGCACAACAATGACTATTCAAACTCCAACTACATCCTGCATTGGCCGTGGCGCAGCGTTACAATGGTCGCCTTATCTGCAGTGTATAGCCAGACGGATAAGCGAAAGCACGCGACTGCTGGCGACTCCTTTCTTTTCCACCTGTCTCTCTTACTCCCCTCCCAACCCCATTAGTGACCTTTCTACTATAGTTCCCAGCTTATTTGACAGCAGCTGTAATGCCACTGCAGTTCTGCCACCTGCAGCTACCTTTCCGCACTACCCACTGGACGCCTATCGGCAACAGTCCCTTATAAGGCCACGCTGTCCCATTTCCCTGGTGACGTTCAACGTTCGCACTCTAAGACAAATAGGTCAACAGGCCGCACTCACACGCACGTTATACACGCTAAGTATTGACGTTTGTTGTGTGTCCGAAACTAGGATCAATAACTCTCATGGAGTTGTTGAATTAATAGCGCCCGACTTGTCATCTCGCTATTGGTTGCACGCATCCAGAGATGCTGATGCAGCAGCCTCTGGTCACGCTAGCGTAGGTATCGTTCTCGACTCCAAAGCTGAGTTATCGTTTTTTGATTGGATTCCGGTGAAGAGCCGTTTGCGTGCAGCCTGTTTGACGACATCAACTAAGGTTGATTCACGAAGTAGTACAGGACGCTTTTTGTTTGTGATTTCCGTTTATGCTCCCACCAACTGCAGTTCAGATGTTGTCAAGGGCACATTCTACCACGAAATGAACACGCTGCTACGCAGTGTTACCAGTTCAGATATCATAGCGTTCGCAGAGGAGAGGAATACACAAGTGGGTCGTCTGAGCTCTTAAGAAGCTCAACTAGGTGGGAAGTATTGACTTAACTTCGAACGGACGGACAACAGTGAGCGTCCGTTGCAACTATGGGTGGCGGACCAGCTGTTTCACAGCAGCGTTGCTATCAGACACAATGGGCGCCAAAGTGCGACTTGGCGTTCTCCTGTAGCTGGCCAGCGATGGACCCAAATAGATAACATTACTATAAGTTACAGGTGGCGTGGTTCCATCCTGGATTGCCGCTCGTTCTGGAGTAATTGCGTCGACTCTGATCATGCCTTGGTACGCTGTCGTTTTTCCATGACCTTTACTGGGAGGTGCACCAAGCGACTTCCCCGATTGGCAACTGGGAAATTATCCCAGCCCTCGAACAGGCGAGCCTACCAAAGTGCACTGCGTACCAAACTTTTGCTGTCTTGTTATAATGAGCCCGAGCTTCCTTGGGATAGGATCTCAGCCGCCATGCATGACGCAGGAGAAACTGCTTGTGCACTATCAATCGTCACCGTATCAGTCACTGGATATCTGAGAAGTCGGTGAACCTGTTGAAATCCGGAAGAAACCTGCCGGCTGGTTCTGAGCACAATGTAACCAGACGGACTATTAGAAGCGAACTGAAGCGGAGCCTGCGTGCTGACAAGGAAGCCTGATGGACCAGTCGGGCGCAAGAAATGGAGGAGGCAGGAGCAGTAGGAAATTACCGCATGCTCTTCCAACTGATTCCCACCAATGGTCTCAGGAAACCAAACGTCAGTGATTCACAATAAGGAGCACCATATGGCTTGTTGGGTGGAACGCTTTCAAGATGAGTTCAGTTGGTCCCATACTTCCGAAAATCTCCCTACTAAGTGATGCAAGATGAACAATGGACGGTTAGTTTGGAGGCTCCAACGGAGGCTGAGGTCCAAAACGCCACCACAGCCCTCAATCGTTTTCATGCGGTTGGTCCAGACTCACTCCCACCCGCAGTATTTAAGGGTAGTGTTGAAGTCCTCTGCAAAGCAGTGGCCTTCTGCTCGAACATGTTTTAAAGGAGGAGATCGTCCCGGCTAACTGGAATAAAGTGACCAAATACAAGAAGGGCAGTCGCACTGACTGTGCAAACCACAGGGATTTTAACTTAACACCAGCTGTGACAAAATTACTTGCCTCGATGTGGAACAGGGATCACGGATTAGGGAAGAGCAGGCAGGTTTTGGCCAGGACGGGGCTATATGGACTCAACCGCAAGTGCTACAGCAGCACCCCGCATACTGCAGACTGACAGTAGCTGTGTTCCTCAACTTCAAGAGTACGTTCGACTCAGTCGATCGAGTTATTCTGTTCGAAAGACTTGTGCGGAAAAGTGTTCCATAAAACATGTGAATATTTTAAGCGCTCAATACTCGAACACAGGCCGCGTCTGAGTCTACGCTGACTTGTCGGATATCTTTTTGACAACAAGTGGCGTTCGTCGGGATTGTCCGATCTCCCCATTTTTGTTCAATTTCGTCGTAGACTCCATCATGGAGTGTTCCCTTACGAAAAAGATGCTGGAATTGAGGTGCTGTTTGATGAGAAGTTAGCTGATCCTGATTATTCGGACGATAGCATCTTTCTGTTTACCGACGTTGGGGCAGCCCAATCAAGCCTGAATAGCCTCTCTAGAATGATTCCATTAGTTAGCATACGCTTCGCAGCTTCAAAATGCAAAGTGTTGTTGCAGGACAGCCAGCCACTTTATAACCTTTTGGCCCTTGCTAACGAGGAACTCGAGGTGGCTGATCAATTCACTTATCTTGGCAACTGCATCAGCAACGATGGGTGCATAGCAACTGAAGTCAGTTCACGTAATGCGAAAGCCATAAGCGCTTTGTTGAATCTGCCACATCTTTAGAGACAGAAAGGGGTTTCCCTTCATCCGAAAGGTTATGTTTACAATGCCACAATGGGACTGTATGCTCTTTGGTAGTGAGATTTGGCCCCTACGATCTGAAGACCTGAGGCATCTTGAAGTATTTGATCATCGCTGTCTGCGGGGTAGCGCGGATTTCCGCAACGATGATGTGCGTAGGCGATTTCTAGGCAGTGATGACCAAGCTAATTCCTTAGAACGACAAATAGCACTGAATAAATTGCGTTGGCTTGGACACGTGCTACGTATGTCTGCTCACCGTTTACTGAGGAGGGTCTTGATTTGTCTGCCAGAGGTAGGGTGGCGCAAGGCTCGAAGTGAACAAACGTTGAGTTGGCAGCGTGAAACGAAGTCAATGACAACAAAACTTGGTGTCATCGGTCCCTTTCGCCTTCCACGCTGGAGTTCATGTGACCCGCCTCGTGCTTGGCTCGCGACTCTACAGTACATGGCTTCCAGTCAACACAAGTGACGCGTCTGATGACATCTCTTAGTCGGGCTACCTGTTTAGTGTGCTTGGTGCTGTTATCTGAGGAATAATGGCTGATCATGACGTGGGGCCATGGTAGCCGCAAGGAAACTGTCTTGCCGATAGCCAACTGTTTGTGATGGTGTGTTGTTGACAAGGTGTAGACGTCTTGATCCTGAGTGTTTGCTTAGGTTTTAAATCAGGTCCTCCTCTCCCTCTTATTGTTCTGTGTTCCGTAGATCACCGTGGTTGCATGGCAGCGAGTATAAGTACAAGTGATTGATGTACTGCTGTTGATGATGATGGTGGTGATGATGATATTCTGAAA